TGTCATTTTGAATTCTTTAGACTAACCTGTAAATTAGGTTCAATGAAAGACACCGGTATACATGTAATACTAACTGACATAATTAATGGACCATTGCTCTATTTTGTTGCTTTTACAAAAAGTTGCAATGGGATACCCAATTTCGTGGATTCAACATTACCCTGATATGCGATTTCATGGATAATACCCAAGTTCAAGTATTCTCTCCAACCTGTTTAACACAATTTTCATGAAGGCCAGCATATTTTTGCAGAATCAGCATACTCAAATTATGTTAAAAAACCAGGCTGGACAAAATAAAATTTATTTCCTGTTAAAATTTTTTTTTTAGCTCAGCTGAAAGTTCAAGTGAGCTTTTCTGATCACCTGTTGTGTGTTGTCTGCCCGTCCGTCCATCTGTAAACTTCTCACATTAATTTTCAACTTCTTAAAAGCCATGTAGTCAGTTTAAACCAAAGTTGGTTCAAACCATCCTTGGGTAAAGGGGCGTTTAATTGTTAAAGTGAAGGGCCAAGCCCCTTTCAAGGGGAGATAATCAAGAAAAGACAAAAATAGGGTGTGGTCATTAAAATATCTTCTCAAGAACCACTGGGCCAGAAAAGCTGAAACTTATGTTGAAGCTTCCTAAGGTAGTGTAGATTCTAAATTGTTCAAATCCTGGCCCCAGGGGCAAGAATGGAGCCAAAATAGGGAATCACATTTTTAAAGTTGAAATATATAGGAAAAAATCTTTAAATATCTTCTTTTCAAGAACTACTGGGCCAGAAAAGCTGAAACTTATGTGGAAGCCTCCTGAGGTAGTGTAGATTCTAAATTGTTCAAATCATGGCCCCTTGGGGTAGGGTGGGACCACAATAGGGAATCAAAGTTTTACATTGAAATTTATAGGAAAAATATTTTAAAAATCTTCTTCTCAAGATCAACTGGGCCAGAAAAGTTGAAACATGTGGAAGCTTCATGAGGTAGTGTAGTTTATAAACTATTCAAATCATGGCCCCTGGGGGTAGGGTGGAGCCACAATATGGAATCAGATTTTTATGTTCAAATATATAGGAGATATCTTTTAAAAAATCTCAAGAACCATTTGGCCAGAAAAGCTGAAACTTACGTGGAATCCCGAGGTAGTGTTGATTCTAAATTGTTCAAATCATGGCCCTCAGGAGTAGAATGGTGCCCCAATAGGGAATCAAGGTTTTACATTGATATACAGTCAATTCTCAAATTATCGCCATTCAGTTCATCGCCATTCTCGCAATACTGCCATGATTTTTCAAGAACGTTTTTCCTACTATATAAAATTCTCGTTATAAAGCCAAATTTGTATTCCGCCATCCACTACCCTGTTTTCACAACTAAAGTCCATTTCAAAGTGTCAATTATCTTGATATACCGCCACAGGTGCATGTGGTCAGTGAAGCGACTTACTGGTTGTCGCTACCATTGTAAAGCCAGACAAGGTACATGTAATTAAAGAATTAAATAAACAATAATTTTTAACATCAACTGTAATTATAATTTTTGTTTTGTGTTTAATAAAAATGATTTAATCATGATTTCTCCATGAAAGTGGTTGTTGTAAAACTTGAGTTTGCCGACAACGATATTAGTTCAAATATCCCTACTTCATGTAATGCAGAGTTTGCTTTAAAATAATGAAACAGTATTAATTGTGAAAGTTTTAGCAACGACGATGCCATAAACAAAAGTATTTACATTAATTCATTTTACATACTATCAGCAATACATCAAGACGATCGACATGGCATGTTTTTCTTAAATACCAGACGTTCAGATTTACACAACATGTACATGTATTTATTTTATAATTGTGTTTTTTTAAACAAAATTATTGTAAGCAAGACAACTATTTGAAGTATTTACCAATTTTGAATGTGTTTTTATATAATACTAAGAATATAAATGCTAAATGTTTTATTTCCAAGAATGGTAACTCTATTTCTTGTTTCCCTAAAAAGGGGAAATTCAATTCATCGCCAAATTCGTTATACCGCCATGATTTCTAATTTACAAAAGGTGGCAGTTTATCAAGAATTAACTGTATGTAGGAAAAAATCTTTGAAAATCTTCTTCCCAATAACCAATGGGCCAGAGGATTGAAATTTATATGGAAGCTTCCTGAGGTAGTATAGATTCTAAATAGTTCAAATTGTGACCCCCTGGGGATAGGGTGGGGCCACAAAAAGTATTGCAAGGTTGAAAATCTGGTAAAGAACAGCAGGGCCAAAGTTACACTGGTGAGCATTCTGGCCCATGGGCCCCTTGTTTCCATAATTCGAACCAGACTATAACAGATAAAGTCAGACTCTGTGGTGTCTTTAATTTTGAGTTTAAAGGGATATATCAAATCAATGTAGGAATAAAAATGAATATTGTTTATATTGATCAATTTATTAGCTCTTCTGAGCCAAAGGCTCCAAGAGTTAATGCAATGCCCATTCATGTGGTGTTCGTAAACTTTTAGAATATGGTCCAAATCTCAAGAACCCCTTGGCCAATTTTTGTAAAATTTGTCACAGAGCATCCTTGGCCCAAGAGCTCTTGTTTATACTAAACCTAGTGATGTGACCCTTAAACAAGGGGAGATAATTAGGAAAATAAAAACAAAAGTACTGGTTGCTAGAAAAAAATCCTATTAAGAACGACTGGGCAGATTATCACTAAACTTACACACAAGGATGAGGATATGTTGTAGATTAAAAGTTATTCAAGGTATCACCCTGGAGCAAAGGGAGTGGTCTCAAGGTCACTTCAAAGTTGACCAAAAATTATGTTTTGTTAAAAATTTTTTTTTTTGTTGTTATTGTTTTCTGTAAGGGCTAGGATCATCAAGTTTTGTCAGTTGATGCATCTTCTGACCTCATATCATGTTGACTCAAAAGTAGGTAACAGTGACCTGAATTTTGCAGGTATTCATTTTCAGTTTGATTTTGATGCATATCTTGCACATTTTGGTGCCTATGATGATCAAAACTTGTTAGTTTATGCATCATGGGACCTTGAAGTGTGTCAACCCAAAAGTAGGTCACCGTGACCTACTTTTTAAATTTTATGGCTAATCATTTTCTAAACATTAAAGGTCATTATTTCAAATTATAAAGAGGTTTAGAATCATCAAACCTTGTAAGTTGATGAACCTAGGGGCTTTAAAAAAAGATCAATTAAATATAGGACACAGTGATCTACTTTTGGAATTTTACAGGCATTCATTTTCAGATTGTCTTAGAGGCATATTTTGAACACTTTGAAGCATAGGATCATCAAACTTTGTCGGTTCATGCATCTTGAGTCCTCAGAATGTGTCAACCAAAAAGTAGGTCACCTTGACCTACTTTTGCAATTTCATGGCTTAATTTAGATATTTCAGATACTAAATGGCTTACAATCACCAAACTTTGTCATTTGATGCATCTTGAGTCCTCAGAGTGTATCAACCAAAAAGTAAGTCACTGTGACCTACTTTGGCAATTTCATGGCTTAATTTGAATAGATAATAATTGGCTTGGAATTATCAAACTTCATCAGTTGATGCTTCTTGGGTACCCAGAATGTGTCAACCAAAAAGTTGGTCACTGTGACCTACTTTAGGAATCTGATGGCTATATCAGATACTAATTGGCTTGGAATTATCAAACTTTGTTAGTTGTTGCCATGCTGACCTACTTTTGGAATTTCAAGGCTTTATCCTTAAATATAGGTTACCAAGAGGCTTAAAACAGATGAGATTATAGGTTACACAATTTTCAGAAGAGTGCTTCTAGGCCCTTGGGCCTCTTGTTAATATATTTATATAGTGATAATAACCTCGTTTTTCTTTTCAACATCAGGCTGATACAACTGTACCATATGATGTTCTAAAAATTTCAGTAAAGACTAAGATCAGTTAATGATGAAAATGATTTATGAAATAAATAAATGATTGCTTGTTGTCTGTTTCCTTAGAAATTGCCAGTAATTTAGATCTGCCAACTGAAATCTACACTACTCCAGGAGGCTTCCATATATGTTTCGGCTTTTCTGGCTTAGTAGTTCTTGAGGAGAATATTCTTAAAGATTTTTTCTTCATATTTCAATGTAAAACAATGATTACCTATTGTGGCCCCACCCTACCCCTGGGGGTCATGATTTGAACAATTTAGAATATACACTACCTTAGGATGCTTCCACATAAGTTTCAGCTTTTCTGGCCCTGTGGTTCTTGAGGAGAAAATTTCTAAAGATTTTTTCCTATATATTTCAATATAATACTTGGATTCCCTATTGTGGCCCCACCCTACCCCCTTGGGCCATGATTTGAACAATTTAGAATCTACACTACCTCAGAAAGCTTTCACACAAGTTTCAGCTTTTCTGGGTCAGTGGTTCTTGAGAAGATGATTTTTTAACGATCCCACCCCATTTTTGTCTTTTCTTGATTATCTCCCCTTGTAAGGGGACTTGATCCTTCATTTTAACAGTTTAAACTCCCCTTTACCAAGGATGATTTGTACCATCTTTGGTTAAAATTAGCCTATAGTGGTTCTTGAGAAGAATTTGAAAATGTGAAAAGTTTACAGATGGATGGACAACAGGTGGTCAGAAAAGCTCACTTGAACTTTCAGCTCAGGTGATCTAAAAAGAAATCACCTTAAGTTGTTAATTTGTAGCAAATCAATGCTTACTATAATGAAGTATACATGTACTTATACCTTGTTTGTTGTTTACACATGCCAGGCACAGGTATATACAAACATGCATCCCATATTTGCAGTTTAAATGATGTTTTGAATCTTTGTCTTTTAAATCTTGTGTTTGAACACTAGGTGAAAACTCATCAGTCATGTCAAAGTCATGGAGTTTTCTTTTTAAAATTGATTCTTCCCCATCATTTTAGTAAAGTAGACACAAAACTTAAATATTTATCAAAGGAGTTTCTATTTATTTGTATGAAAATTTGGGTTTTGTGTTTATTTTTTTATCATTTTCTTGCTCATTCTCTTCAGATGTTCCAGCATCTGGAATGTACTTCATGACATATGAATGGCTTCAACACATTTTAACACCAAAAGGTCACAGGTAAACTTTTAAAAAGCTATTTAAGAAAGAAATGTCAACAGCAATGTTTTACTTACTTAAACATGTTCCCTTGACAATTTTAAGTGTTGGCATTTGGTTGAGAGCTGGGTGGTAGTAAAGGTAGGTTTTTAGGTCACGATTTTTAAGTCACCTGAGTCACTCAGGTGACCTTTTGCTATCTGTTTTCATCCGTTGATGTGCATTGTTTGTTATGGGTTTTCCGTCATGCCTTTACATTTGAACATTTTCAGCTTCTTCCTGGAACTGCTGAACCAGTTTCGACCAATTTTGGCATAAAGCATCTATGAATGAAGGGGAACAAAAATTTTGAATTTTGTGGTCCCCCCCCCCCCTTGGGCCTTAGTGATTATCTTTAAAAATCTTCTTCTTTACTCCTGGACATTGTCGCCCGCATGGCGCAGTGGTTAGAGCGTTCGCTCTAGAGTCGCGGAGTAAGGAGATGATCCTTACATCGCGGGTTCGAATCTCACTGTGGATGTGGAGACCGGTCCTTCAGATGAGACCGTATAAACCAAGGTCCCGTGTCGCAGTAGGTGCTGGCTTGAAAAAGATCCCCCACTGCTCAATGGCCCTGAGTGTCGAGTATAGGTCAAAATTTGCAGCTATCCACCATCAAGTATTGGCGTCTCCATGAGTGAAAAATTCTCGAGAGGGACGTTAAACAATAAACAAACAAAAACTCCTGGACATCAAGCAGTCAAACTGCTGGCATGATTAAACCCCCTGCAAACGAAGTTTAGGGGGGTATATTGGAATCACCATGTCCATCTGTCTGTCCGTCCGTCTGTCTGTGGACCAGGTTTTTGTCCTGACCTGTTCTCAGTGACTATTGGATAGATTTGTCTGAAATTTGTACACTCGTTCACCATTTGAAGGTGTGCACCTGGTACTTTCATCTTGATTGGATAATTTTTCTGCATTTTACAGGTGTTTTTTTTTTTTTTCATTTTTATTGACTTAGTCATTTTGAGTTTATGTAGCTATTCCCCAAGTGGTCACAGTGATTTATTGTGTTTTTCATGAGCAGGCAGTCACAGATCAAATCAATAGCTTCATTAACGGAACATTCTCATGTGGTAGTGTTTATGTTTCATTATATTGTTAAATAATTACCATTTCATAATTACCAAGAATTTTACATGCATTATAAAAGGCACTGACAACAAAGGTGAGAGTGGGGAAGGTGGCGGTTGAAATCAAAATGTAAACAATAGATATTTGGAAGCACGCACCAGCAATGAATTCGATAAGCAATGACGTCACAAAAGGATGCTAAAGCGAGGCTGAGTTATGTAACATAATGGATGTAAAGGGGCTTCAAGGGGGAAATTATCAGGCTGTGACAAAATAAATTTGATAAAATATGAATGAAAACATGAAGACAAAATAATTTCTATAAACATAAATTATGTACATAATTTTAATTTTATAGACTAGTTATTGTTCATAATATAGCTGTCTGATATGCATTGATCGAGACTGCTGAGACTGATACAAAACAAGATATTGGTTAAGTAAACTAATTTATTTTAAAGAACACAAGATAATAAAATATCTACACACTACAATTAACAAACATACAATTTGGAAAACTGGGGACATACAACTGTTCTGCATTTATGAATTTTATATGAGTTATCCCCCTTTTAAAGACAAGTTGAAACATGGGGGATGAGAAACAGAGTACATTTAATAAAAGTTATCCCCCTTTAGTAACAATTCAGTAGGGGGATGAAATACAAAAGAACATTTTCTAAAAGTTATCCCCCTTTCTTAAAAAATACATACTAAACCTTAAAAAAACTTGGGGGATGAGTACAAAAGTTTGTAACGAATTGGCCAAATACATATGCAGAGCAGATGTAGCCCCCAGGTTCCCATGAAAACCTTTGTTGTCAGTACAAATCTAATCAAGCTGGATAAAGTGTTGTGTCTGTCTGAGCCAGTTGAATTTGAGCATCTTTGATAATGTTGGGAGATGTATGTATATGTGTATCTAACATAACAATCTGATGACCATTGACCTAAGGTTTGGATCAGATGGTCTTCAAGTCGAGCTTCATGAACAGATGTTGCTGCTCCAATTCTGAAGGAGTGACCTTTATAACTATTACTAGTTAAACCTAATTTCTCTTAAAGAATCTTGATGTGCATAATAAAAAATTGTCTAGATAAAGGTTTTCTGTCTTCGTTTACAAAAAAAGCTTCACTGTTTACTGAGATCAAAGACTGCCTTAAACTGTAATATCTAAAAATAGAAAGCACTGGACATACAGAAAAACCTAGCTGTTTTATAAAAAGGAATTGTTATACCTTGCCTAAAGGGGCCAGTTTTAGATTTCTTAAATGTAATAAAAATAGATTCATTGCTGATTTGAACATCACTAAAGCGTAGATGACAATCAGAGTCAAACTGATTAAACACTGTAAATTCTTCACACCTAAGAAAACCAAAAAAAAGCTGCAACACAAGCAGCTTCTAACATGATGCTATTGAAATAACCAAATACTGACATTTTTAATAAATTGCACATCTGTGACAATATGGGCATGGTTATAGGTAAATGAACGCGTTTACTAGTGGATCCTTGTTTCTTTTTAATACCCACTAAGATTGTTTTCAAACACTCAAGTGGTTTTCCATCTACAAACATGGGGTTGAAACCACTATGCTTTAAATAATAGAATCTGATTCCACACAAATAAAGTTTGATTGTAGAATGTTTAATTTGTTTATGTTCATCACAAAAAGCTGCAAAGTGCATAAGTAGCCTTTCTGTAATGGGTGGAAGACTTCCATCATCCCATGTTGTGCCATGAAGTAGAAGAAACTTTGTGTAGGAGTCCATACCTGATTCATAGGCAGTTAAAGTTGCACGGGATAAAGCATGAGTCCAGAGATTGTCTATTGAGCAGTCCAAAGAATCTTGGATAGTGGTGGACATGGCGTTGGTAATTCCTCTGCATCCGGCACCAGTTGTCGGAATTTCTTTATCTGAAAACATGATAAAGCATCGGCTATAGAGTTTTTAACACCGGGAACATGTTCACTAAAGACAGCAAAATTGTTTATGGCAGCACACATAGTTAAGTGTCTCATTAGTTTCATGATACAAGGTTCTTTGGATCGACCTTTTTTAATGTACACTGTAGCCATGTTGTCACATTTAAAGAGGATATTTTTACCGGTTTACTGATTTCCCCATAGAACTGCTGCAACAACTATGGGATAAAGTTCGAAGAAAGCCATAGACGCTGAGTAATCCTCAATTGTAGGTAATTCTTGGGGCCATTTGTCACAAAACCATTTATTGGAGAAAAAAAACCCAAAACCAATAGACGATGAAGCATCGGTAAACAAAGAAATTTGAGATGCTAAGGTCAGTTTGTTGTCATAAAAAAGGTTAATTCCATTCCAGTTAGTAAGGAATTCCAACTACATTGTCAGATCAGCTTTACATTCTTTGTTAAGGTGAACATGATGGTAACTTTCTTTTACAGTCGACATTAAATTGTACAAGTAAGTAACGAATGCTCTTCCTGGTAAGATAACACGACTTGCAAAGTTCAAATGTCCTAGAAGTTATTCAAGCTCTTTTCTTGTACAAGAAGGTTTTTTGAGCATTGTTTTAATGAAGTCAATAATTCTTACTGTTTTGTCTTTTGGCAAACGAGCTTGCATGTTGACTGTGTCTAATATCACTCCAAGGTATTCCAATTCACATGTAGGGCCTACTGTTTTTTTTTTAAACATTAGAGGTATTTTCAGCTTGTTAAATATTAAAGTTAATAGAGCAATAGTTCTTTCCCCACAATAACCTGGTTTGTCTATGGTCAGAAAGTCATCAAGCAAATGAAAACTTACATTGATGTTGTAATTGTGTTTTGCAATCCAGCAAATACTTTGAGATAACATGTCGAAAAGTTTGGGACTGGAATGGCAGCCAAATGGTAATCGAACATAATTGTAGTATTTGTTTTCCCATTTGAAACAAGAGATGCCATTACGATGGAGTAACAGGCAACTGCTTGAAAGCAATGGAGATGTCTACTTTACAGCATATGCTGTACTGACCATATTCTTGAATAACTTGGATTGCATCGTCTAATTTGATGTAGGACAGAGAGCATAAATCTTTATCAATAAGATCATTAAAACTAAGATGCTTGTCTTGATTATGTGGGGAGGAGAGGTCAAAAATGTCTCTTTTTAGCTGAATATTTATGAGTAGCTATACCAATAGGACTGACTCTGTAAACAGGAAATGGAGGTTTGTCAAACGGACCATTTACAAAGCCTTTGACAATTTCATCTTTGATCAGCTTTCTAACAGTTTCTGGATCTCTCCTCGCAGATAATGCATTTTTACATTCAAATGAAACAAGATCAAACTCAGAAACTAGCATATCAAAACTATGTTGAATACTGTTACAAAGCAGTGTTGAAAATTCTTTATCAGGAGGATTTTTTAATTCTAGTCTCAGCTGATTATAGTGTATTGGAGTAGAGGCTAGTCATGATTGATTTTCGGTACCAGTAACTGGTTTTGGATTCTGTTGCTTTGGTTTAGTATTGGATGACTCCTTATTTTTAGTTGGACACTGATTTCTGCCATGATTTTTAGACTTGCATTGTCTATAGACATGGACATATTTGCAGTAAGGCTTAGAACAACCTTGCACCCAATTGAAGTTATTGCAAACTTGTTGGTCGTTATGGTGAACGATTTCACGTCCAAGGGTATCAGCTTTACCCGGGCCTGTGTGCAATTGAGATTTTGATGGACACATGTTGGTAGAATGCATAGTGGAGTAACACTTGGCACAAGAATTAACATGGAAACCTGCACAAATTTTCTGTTTCAACTCAATATTGCCCTTAGACCAATCAATTTTAACGTTGTGTTGGATAAGCATAGTAGCACATTTAGCTGAAAACATTTTGTGGTACTCATGAAATTTGTGTGGCCAAATATTAG